TGACATAATTATTATTTAGGTTAAAATTGCAACTTGTTAATTTCTATTTCAAAATTGTTAGTAGCTACTGAAATGTAGTCAATACTTATTAAAAAAATTGTAAATAACCTGAAAGAGTGGCCTTGCTACATGGTAAACTTAAGTTGTTAATCTATTAAGATGCAGTCAATACTTCGCAAAAAAAATTGTCAATGACCAATAGTCAAAGCTAAGTAACTAACTCCTATAAATATATTGCATTAGTTTGATAGTAAAATTTTAGTGGCTCAATGATCATCCTTAATTTTAACACAAACAACTAAGTAAACTAAGTTTCTCATTGTTATTGTTTTTGTTTAATGCAATGGTGTTTACTTAATTTGAATTCTTGTTTCCCGATGCTGGTGGATGGCCAACTCTAGTGTATGATTTGGGGTTGGAGTTGCCTTTGAAAGAGAAAGAAGGGAATTGCATTTAGACATCTCGTTAAGCAACTTATAAGGATTATAAATTTTTGCATTTTATGAGATAGAAACACACTAAAGGGCCCTAAGTAATCACGATAAAGCTTCTATGCATCATAGAATGAAGTAGAGCTGTCAATAAGGGCCAACCCGACCCTAAAGGGCTAGCCCTTGAAGGGCCAGGGCCTAAAAGGGCCGGCCCTTTAAAGCCCACATACCTTAAAATTATCTAATTATTAAAGCCCGACCCTTAGGCATGCGGGCTCAGGGCTTAAAAGGGCTGGTCCTTTTATGTTATTTTTTAAAATTTAAATTCTTTTTAATTATTTTAAAATAAAAAATAAAACAACAAAACCTTCTAAGATTTTTTATTTAAATTATAAATATAAGTAAAATAAATTAGTGGTGTATAGAAAAAAAATTAAATGCCAATAAACTATTGTCCAAAATAAAAAAAAAAATCAAAATCTAACAACACGAAAAAAAGAAAGATAAAACCTAGCAGTTAAAGATTAACAATATCAACATAATTATTATCTTTATCTTCATCTTCATCAGTATCATCAAGATCAGCAATATTTGATTGTTCCTTACTACAAGTGAGCTCTTCTTCAGTGATAAAAATATTAAGGTTTTTGTCTTCATTTACCTTATCTGAAATAAAACTAGCAGTAGTTATAAGTACAAATAAGAACTGAACATTTGTTCGATAAGAAAAGTTTTACACTTTGGTTAAGATATGTAAACCGATGGTAAATGAAGATCTACTAGCTATTATAGTGATTAAAATGTTAAGAATATCAGTTACCATTCTTGAAAGAATTGAAAATTGATTTTAATTGTTCTTCCACAAGTCCAAGACATTTAATTCTTTTCAATTATCTACTTGAGTATTGACTTCTAGGTATTTTTCTTATTTAAAGTTATTCATAAAAGACTAATCTATAACTTTATAAATATATTGATAATAATTAAAAAAAATAGACGGGCTTAAAAGGGCTAGCCCTTGGCCCTAAAGGGTTGGCCCTTTTATTTTTGAGCCCTATAGGGCTAGCCTTTTTAAGCCCAATTTCCTTTTCAACCACTTAAAATACAAGCCCGGCCCTCTATTTAAAAGGGCTTAAAAGGGCTGGCCCGATGGGTTTGGCCCGTTTTGACGGCTCTAGAATGAAGTTAGAATATGGGTATAGGTGGATTTAAAGAAAGTTATATCTAATTATTAACCTTGATTCTAAAGTTTAAATTAAGCTCAATAACCAGCAGAAATTGAATCGCAAAGCGTAGAGGGGATTATAATTCTTAGGGTGTCTCTTAATTGCTTGCCTTCCCTTTGAGTTAATTTGAATTTCATTGCTTTTAATTGCACTTGAATATACTTCTTTTGACAATTCACTCGTAAATTGATTAGTTTAACTAAGATGAAATGGGATTTAGTTTGTGCCTAATCTCTTTAACTATAGTTCTTTGTGGAACGATCTTGATTCCCTTATACTTTTTTTGACATTAAAATAAGGGAAAATTATATTAACTCTATAGTCTGCAATTGTTTATGCCTTGCTTTCAAATAAGGTAATATAGTCTTTTACTCTCTTCTATTCTTAATATATAATAACTACTTAATTAATTTACATAGATTAAAAGGGTCAAATAAATTAGTTACTTATAACAAATATGATTTGATCTTCCTAAAATACTCTTATATGATATTAAATTATATATCAATTTTATAAGTTAGATGAATTATTTAAAAAGTATTGATAACTATGAGAGATAAAGTAGACTGATATTGTATACCTAAAATCAAATCCAACCGGCAAACTTACTCTTATATTAAAAACATGAGGTAGTAATCTATCCCTATATACTCCTCCGGTCTTTAATGTAAGATCTAATTGGGGAGTTGATATTAGTCCTATAAATAAGACTTATTTTACATGTTTATAATTTTTTTCTCGAATCAACCTAATTGACATTCCTCCAACAATAATCAAGTAAGAGAGGGAGAGATAGAATTAAGAAAGATACTTAGAATTTTAGAAAAGATATATCATATTAACTAATTTAACTAACATCTTTAATCTACTCAAATTATTAAATTAAGAATTGAAGGAGCATAATTTGGGTTAAAGTGCAAATTCACTTTGAAAGTTTTTACTTGGGATCACTAGGTATCCAGAAATTTTTTTGGGAGCAAATTTGGCTTAGAAGTTTAAAATCATAGCAATATTACTTCCTGTGGTTAAAAATATTAATGGTCAATATTATTTTTTTATGGCAGGAGATAATATTACTATGATTTTAAACTTTTAAGGCAAATTTGACCCTAAAAAAAATTCTAGATACTTAGAGCTTCTAAGTAAAAACGTTCGAGACAAATTTACACATTAACTCTAATGTTTAAAAATTATAAGGAAAATCTCTAATAGAAATTGTTAGGATCTTACCTGGTCAAATGGTACAAATTGGATTTGAATATTGATCAGTCACTGTCTATGCTCCGCCTTATTACCTCATATTTATCATCTTATATCGTTTCTAAGTAACAAAATAAGTTATTTTATTAAATGTAGAAAAACCATGTACTCAAAATATCAATTAGAAGCTACCTTAAAATAGTTATGCAGGATCAGTTACCGTCATTGTATAGCATCCTGTTGTAAATAAATAATATTATGATCTAATACGGAATGATGATTACAGAACATTTGTTTAGGGTGCCATTAAGGAGTTATGGAATAAAATTTATATTTTATATAAATATTAAAAATAAATGTGAAGCAGTTAAAATTCATGAAGGCTATAGATGTCCATACGTTGATTCATGTAATATTGAATATGGACTGCATCGTTAAAATTATGATATAAAGGATTACCTATTTGTTCTAATTTATCATAATTATGATTACACTGAATTATTTTATTGTGCCAACCAGAAAAGACCGGAAATCCTGAATGGATCAGTAGAATGCATTACAATTAGGAATCATGATGCATGAAGACTTTTGATTCATGCATTAAGATATGATCAATTGATCTAGTACAGTGAGAAAGAGCCGCAGAACATGGACTCGGCTCGAAATCTACTTTCTCCCCCCCCCCCCTAACTCAAAATATGCTGAGTCACTTTGAATTTAAGATTAATCTTTATTAGACTGAGATCATTAAGGTTAAAGTCCTCCCAATATGTGCGCTTTCCCTGAATTCGAACTTGTGTCCTCCTAGTCACGGAAATGAGACTGCTTACCATATCAACCAATAACTTGTTAGTTGAAACGTACTTTCTATTAACCAGTAATGTATAAATTTGCATTGAAAGCCATACATAAATTTACTTTTAGGATCATATGATTTCGTTAGTTTTGTTTAATTATTAATTTGAGTGATTGGTTAATATGATTTGAATTATTTCAAGTTAAAGTCAAATATTGAATAGTAAAATTAATATAACTATATTACTTTATGATTTTTACGATAACTCTTTTAATTAGTAACATATCCCAGGCAACATTTGTCAACGTTTCTAACTATATACTATGTTTGATTCTTAATATAAGTCATAGTCAACTAATTTAAAAAAATTAAGAAAGCTAAATAAATTACTTTAAATATTTATATATATATATTTTTTCAAACTAATTCACTTGACTTGTAAATTGATATGTAATTTAATGATAAACATACATATTTCAAAGAGATCATGTAATATATGCTATAATTAAGTTATTATTTAACTTTGTTAATCTCTTTAAATTAGTCAGTTGGGTCTTATATTAAGAATCAGATGTGGTATATTATGAAATTATGCAGTCAAAATGTTTATTAATCTAATAAGACCACATGATAAGCACGTAAAGGAGCTGAAAATTTTATTTTAATTATAAAATATTTCTCATTTCATTAACGTATAGAAATCACAATGATATTATTATATATATGTCATCCATGTTTAACCGACTTGATTGAATCAAACTTTTTGTCATCGTATGTATGTTTACTACTTAAGATAGCCTCCAAAGTAAACGTTCTTGAATTATTTTTATGATGTGCGTACTATTCATTAGCCGATTAGTACAAGTCACTACTTAACTAGTCGGAAAAATACTGCTTATACATAAATACAATATTTATTTATTAGGTATATATATCCAGCTGGGCTAAGCGATGTTTATTCCCTCACATACGGTCCATTTCTTGACCAAGAGAAGTATATACACTTAATGATAGAAGAAAAATCAAATGAAACATTAATGTTAAATTTACTTGCTAAAATTTTCAATACCTAACTGTTTAGTCATGCACGGCCAAGCACAGGTATAAAAGGGTTTGTTGTAGTACTCTCCCAAAACAAAGCATTTTGCATAATATGATCAAAGGATCTAAAATGGCGAGGTCTTTGCCACTATGTTGTTACGTCATCTTATTATGCCTTATAGTGAGTGGGGTGGTTGCTCATGAACACCACCCGCGACCACGGCCACGATGGCTTCCGCGTTGGCGACGACCTCATAATCCCTTTCATCCTACACGGCCTGATAATCCCTTTAATCCTACACGACCTCATAACCCCCCACCACCACCCCCACGAACTCCCTCTCGTCCTACACGACCTAATAACCGGCCTCCACCACCACCCCCACGAACTCCCTCTCGTCCAAAACGACCTAATAACCCGCCTCCACCACCCCCACAAACTCCTTCCCGACCTATGCAACCCAGTAACCGCCCACCGCCACCACCACTTTCACAATTAACACCACCAAATATTTTATCACCCAGGTCGCCACCTTCACATTCTCCATCTCCATCGCTTTCTTCACCACAATCTTCCTCTCCTACATTACCACCGTCTCCTTCACCAACAAAATCGTTTGGCAACACAACTCCATCGCCTATATCATCAATTTCTCCTTCACCTACTCCTTCAAAATCAACTAGCCCTTCACCTCGTCCCTCTTTATCACAAACCCCATCTCCTTCTCCTTCACCGGCCTCTAAACTAATTGTTCCCTCTTCGCCTTCACCTTCTAATGCTAATAATAACTACCCACCTTTGAATTCATCACAAAGTCCATCTACTTCAGCATCATCATCTTTATCTCCTTCACCATCGCCTTCAACAAAAACTCCATCATCACTTTCTCCTTCACCCTCAAAGCCAATTATAGCTCCTCGTCCTTCCATATCATCATCTTTTCCTCCTACCCATTCACCATTAGGTGCCATGAACTCCTCGCCTCCTCGTTCTTTAGAAACACCATCTCCTTCTCCTTCAGCTACTCTTTCAAATTCAATTAACTCCTCACCTCGTCCTTCTTTATCACACACTCCATCTCCATCTCCTTCACCCTCTAAACCCATTGTTCCCTCTTCTCCTTCACCTTCAAATGCCAAAAATAACTCCTTACATCCGAGCCCATCACAAAGTCCATCTCCTTCAGCATCGTCATCTTTATCTCCTTCACCATCACCTTCAACAAAAACTCCATCATCTCTTTCTCCTTCACCCTTAAAGCCAATTGTAGCTCCTCATCCTTCCATATCATCATCTCCTTCTCCTTCACCAGCTCTTTCAAATTCAATTAACTCCTCACCTTATCCCTCTTTAACACAAACTCCATCTCCTTCTCCTTCACCCTCTAAACCAATAGTTCCCTCTTCTCCTTCACCTTCAAATGCAAAAAATAACTCCGTACATCCGAGTCCATCACAAAGTTCATCTCCTTCAGCAACGTCATCTTTATCTCCTTCACCATCGCCTTCAACAAAAACCCCATCGTCTCTTTCTCCGTCACCCTCAAAGCCAATTGTAGCTCCTCGTCCTTCCATATCATCATCTTTTCCTCCTACCCCTTCACCATTAGGTGCCATGAACTCCTCCCCTCCTCCTTCTTCACAAACACCATCTCCTTCTCCTTCAGCTGCTCTTTCAAATTCAATTAACTCCTCACCTCGTCCTTCTTTATCACACACTCCATCTCCTTCTCCTTCACCCTCTAAACTAATTGTTCCCTCTTCTCCTTCACCCTCAAATGCCAAAAATGACTCCTTACATCTGAGTCCATCTCAAAGTCCATCGCCTTCAGCATCGTCATCCTTATCTCCTTCACCATCCCCTTCAACAAAAACTCCATCGTCTCTTTCTCCTTCAACCTCAAAGCCAATTGTAGCTCCTCGTCCTTCCATATCATCATCTTTTCCTCCTAACCCTTCACCATCAGTTGCCATGAACTCCTCGCCTCCTCGTTCTTCACAAACACCATCTCCTTCTCCTTCAGCTACTCTTTCAAATTCAATTAACTCCTCATCTCATCCTTCTTTATCACACACTCCATCTCCCTCTCCTTCACCGTCTAAACCAATTGATCCCTCTTCTCCTTCACCTTCAAATGCCAAAAATAACTCCTTACATCCGAGTCCATCACAAAGTCCATCTCCTTCAGCATCGTCATCTTTATCTCCTTCACCATCACCTTCAACAAAAACTCCACCATCTCTTTCTCCTTCACCCTCAAAGCCAATTGTAGCTCCTCGTCCTTCCATATCATCATCTCCTTCTCCTTCACCAGTTCTTTCAAATTCATCTAACTCCTCACCTCATCCCTCTTTAACACAAACTCCATCTCCTTCTCCTTCACCCTCTAAACCAATTGTTCCCTCTTCTCCTTCACCTTCAAATGTCAAAAATAACTCCGTACATTCGAGTCCATCACAAAGTCCATCTCCTTCAGCATCGTCATCCTTATCTCCTTCACCATCCCCTTCAACAAAAACTCCATCGTCTCTTTCTCCTTCACCCTCAAAGCCAACTGTAGCTCCTCGTCCTTCCATATCATCATCTTTTCCTCCTACCCCTTCACCATCAGCTGCCATGAACTCCTCCCCTCCTCGTTCTTCACAAACACCATCTCATTCTCCTTCAGCTACTCTTTCAAATTCAGTTAACTCCTCACCTCGTCCTTATCTATCACAAACTCCATCTCCTTCTCCCTCACCCTCGAAACCAATTGTTCCCTCGTCTCCTTCACCTTCAAATGCCAAAAATAACTCCCTACATCAGAGTCCATCACAAGGTCCATCTCCTTCACCATCGCCTTCAACAAAAACTCCATCATCTCTTTTCCTTCACCCTCAAAGCCAATTATAGCTCCTCGTCCTTCCATATCATTATCTTTTCCTCCTACCCCTTCACCATTAGGTGCCATGAACTCCTCCCCTCCTCCTTCTTCACAAACACCATCTCCTTCTCCTTCAGCTACTCTTTCAAATTCAACTAACTCCTCACCTCGTCCTTCTTTATCACACACTCCATCTCCTTCTCCTTCACCCTCGAAACCAATTGTTCCCTCTTCTCCTTCACCTTCAAATGCCAAAAATGACTCCTTACATCCGAGTCCATCACAAAGTCCATCGCCTTCAGCATCGTCATCCTTATCTCCTTCACCATCACCTTCAACAAAAACTCTATCGTCTCTTTCTCCTTTACCCTCAAAGCCCATTGTAGCTCCTCGTCCTTCCATATCATCATCTCCTTCTCCTTCACCTGCTCTTTCAAATTCAATTAACTCCTCACCTCATCCCTCTTTAACACAAACTCCATCTCCTGCTTCTTCACCCTCTAAACCAATTGTTTCCTCTTCTCCTTCACCTTCAAATGTCAAAAATAACTTCGTACATCCGAGTCCATCACAAAGTCCATCTCCTTCACCATCGCCTTCAATAAAAACTCCATCATCTATTTCTCCTTCACCCTCAAAGCTAATTATAGCTCCTCGTCCTTCCATATTATCATCTTTTCCTCCTACCCCTTCACCATTAGCTGCCATGAACTCCTCACCTCCTCGTTCTTCACAAACACCATCTCCTTCTCCTTCAGCTACTCTTTCAAATTCAATTAACTCCTCACCTCGTCCTTATTTGTCACAAACTCCATCTCCTTCTCCCTTACCCTTGAAACCAATTGTTCCCTCTTCTCCTTCACCTTCAAATGCCAAAAATAACTCCCTACATCAGAGTCCATCACAAGGTCCATCTCCTTCACCATCGCCTTCAACAAAAACTCCATCATCTCTTTCTCCTTCACCCTCAAAGCCAATTATAGCTCCTCGTCCTTCCATATCATCATCTTTTCCTCCTACCCCTTCACCATTAGGTGCCATGAGCTCCTCCCCTCCTCCTTCTTCACAAACACCATATCCTTCTCCTTCAGCTACTCTTTCAAATTCAATTAACTCCTCACCTCGTCCTTCTTTATCACAAACTCCATCTCCTTCTCCTTCACCCTCGAAACCAATTGTTCCCTCTTCTCCTTCACATTCAAATGCCAAAAATAACTCCTTACATCTGAGTCCATCACAAAGTCCATCACCTTCAGCATCGTCATCTTTATCTCCTTCACCATCGCCTTCAACAAAAACTCCATCATCTCTTTCTCCTTCCCCTTCACCATCTTTTGCCATAAATTCCTTGCATCCGTATTCTTCACAAACACCATCTCCTACTTTTTCACCTTCATCAAAACCAACTATCTTTGCACCTCTTCCTTCTCAATTATCACCTTTATCTCCTTCTCCATCCTCAATACTTTCTCCTAGCAATCATTCTCCACCAATTAAATCAAGCCCATCACCATCACCATCTCTTTCATTGCAAAGTCCATCATCTCCACCTATCCCTAAAAGTTCACCGCCTCCCCCATCAACATCCACACCTCCACCACCTAGCCCAAGAATTCCATCACCACCTCCACCATCAACACCTAAACCCCCTCCACTAAATGCTCCCCCTCTACCATCCCGACATTTAAGATGCATCAAATTTTTTATCTTTAGAATTTGCTTCTGATCAAATCCAACATCACCCAGTTCTATATATATATGCTCTAAACCTTCGTTTCACTATATATCACTTTCTTTCATTGTGCACCAGTCCTCCTTTGTTTGTGATCCACCAAACACACTCAAATATCCCATGAAGCATTACATCTTGATGGTCATTCCCATCTTATCATTTCTGATCATACCATAATATATTACCATACAATAATGCGCTACCTTATAATATTATGTTCTTGTGTAATAATGTACTATGAATAAGTGAAGTTTTATATTATGCTATGTTTGTTCGTTGTAATCTGAATTTGAATAATATATCCATTTACAGCATGATATTTTGCTTTTAAGATTGTTTTTGCTTGTTTTAATTTTCATATGGGAAAATCACAGAAAAATGATTTTTTTGGATTTAGAAGTCCCAAAAGTCACTTGAATAGGAGAAATTTCGTTTTAGTTACGAACGACCAAATGAGAATTTTATAATTTGATAGAATGACCATATTACCCTCATAAACTTTAGGGGGAAAAAAATCTAAAGACCCCTATCACACCAGCAAGCCGATAAAGCTATGTTGTGCTTAGTAAAAGTAATAGTAAAAGCATTACGCTTTCATATTGACAATTTTTCATAGTTAACATTACCCAAAAAACCTTATGTTCGTAAACTATCTTTCATAATTGGGGGATGCAACACCTAACTTTCTATATACTAAGAGGATCATTTTAACGTCTGTGAATCACCAATGGTAGGTTTCCGACCTAGAAAAAGATAGGAAATTTTTTTTATATCAGATACTAACTGAATACTGACGAGTGATTCACACACTTGAACCTTGTCTCTATTACTGATAATGTAGGCACACAGACATAAAATAATGCTACATATTTAGGTAGATATATTGGTCATCTCAGTCAATGGCCCTTACCTATATGCCAATAGTGCATACCTCCTTATGGAGAATACAAAATAATATTTACATAAAGCAAGTAAAGTTACTTGCCCATATAAAATAGATAATAAAATAAATACCAACTTATCAAGATATTTTGCTACATATTTATAGAATATAACAGCCATCTTTGCTCTTCAACCAGCCCACCTTCTTATACAACTTCCTTTCCCTTAACACCGTGCGCCTTTGCTGTATATCATGGAAGGGGGTGAGATTCTGGAGAATCCCCATAGTAGTAATTTCCATCAAACATATATGCAGATTACATAAAGCATGCAAAACAAACCATATGGAACATAACCTTGCAAGTTATGCATAAAAAGCATTTAAGTGCAATGACACATAGTCATATTGATTAGCTGAATGTGCAATCAACGGCACATAAGGTCGGACATACAATGGCTTGTAGGGCCGCATAAATAATGGCTCATAAGGCCCCATATCTTTTAGCTGCACGTGATCACGGCTATTAACTCATACAAGGAATTAAGGATTACATGTTCTCATACTTTTGAATAGCAATATGGCACAAACAGACATGTAGCAATCATACATAAATATAAGGTAGAAAAAAACTACTACCTGGTCCGCTTCCCTCCAAATCAAACCTTACCGTTCTCCTTTCTTTTTGCTTCTTGGTGGGCTTGAACAGATACCAAAACCTATCATATTCGTAAGGGTAGATCAATATTTGATCCAACTGTAATTCATAAATTAAATAACTCTCTTTAAATCCCAAATCTTCTTTAATCTCTACTCTTACATAATAGTTGGTCATCCTGGATAATTTTTCTTATTTAAACTATTCTCTTTGAAGGGTTTCCCTCCTTATCTCAACCCCTATAGTTACTTTGCTCAGTAACTGGTCATTTTGATCAAAAATATTATTTTAGTTACTATATTTAAGGACTATATCGTGTCGATGCCGGCTCCACTTCATTTGAAGTTTCTAAACTCAATTTAATAACCTAAAATACTTGTTCAACATCCAAAGATACTAAACAGTAACTATATATTTGAGTTTTTATAACAACACATGCCTATACACATGTACATCTCCAATAATTCACATAACCTTGCACTTGATCTGGAAGTATTTTCCAGATTTAAAAGCATACTCCTACATGCATATATTCTCCCATAGCCTCATAATCCTCTTATACAGACTTTAATCTATGCCAGCATATACTCTAATCATTGAAATTTCTATTCATCGGTTAGTAACCTCAAGCAATCTCAACCATAAATTTTAAATCAACTACTCTATCTTTCATACTCTGGGAATTATTCCTAACTTCAAGACTATCCTTTAAAACTTAATATAATCAATCTTCAACTACAATTTATATAACAAAATCACTATTTATTCTATGTGCAGACATCAAACAAACCCCATGCTCAAGCCTTCAATTCATAACCCATAGTACCAAATTCCAACTTA